CGCCCAAGAAGGCAGTCCGAATCGAGCCCAAGACCTATTTTGCAAACGAGCGAACCTTCATTCAGTGGGTCAGTGCCGCCTTGTTCTTGGTGACTACTTCTGCAATTTTGCTCGAGGCTGAAAATGGAGAAGGCTATGCCAAGCTGACGGCCACAACTCTTTTGATCTTTGCCTTGATCATTGCGATATACGCGGTGGGACTCTATTACTTTCGCCTTTGGCTCTTGACCAACGCTCGGCCCTACGGATACATCAGTCATTTTGGACCCTTTGTTTTGACTGGTGCAGCCATAGCTGGGACCTGGGTAATTTTGCGTCAGATTCGTTTGGTCGAATTCCAGGAAGAAATAGAGCGAAGTGTGGAGGAAGCGAAGAGCAAAGCGTTCGTTCAAGCGGATCCTGGGGTGTGTATGGAACATGATATTAGTTCATTTTCGCCATTGGAATTCGAGCCGAGTGATGCATTGATGGATCTACAGCGCAACCAATTGTTGGTTCCATCCCTCTCGGAGATTTATGGTTTTCCTCTTCCTGAATGGAACAGTGAAGGGGTTCTCGAGATCCCAAATGTTTCCTCCAGCATTGTGGCACAGGTGGAACTAGCGGACTTTGAAGCCATCACTTTGGTTGATGATGACACACTGTACGCCGTTTCTGAAATCGATATTACAACCCTTGAGCAGTCTGCACAAATGTACTCGTTTGAACGCGGAGATTTTGGACGCTTTGAAGTCACTGGTCAATGGAAGCTGGAGACACCCGAACCTGAAGGTATGGCCATGATCACCGAAGGCAAGTCTTCCTCCTTGTTAGTTTCTGGTCAAATCGGAGAAGGACCACTCAGTGCATTTGTCAAACGTTTCGAAGTTCCTGAACCGAATGGAATGTTCAATGACATCCTCAACAGTACACCAACGTTGGAAGCGAGCCGTAATCGGAACGAGAGACTCTTGGACTCTGATATGGAGGACCCAAAGATTGGAGCCATGACCTACTTCGAAGGGGTCTTGTACGTCTTGCACCGAAAAGCCAAGGTTGTCCGAGCATGGGACATGGAGTCAGGAACCTTCCGAGCCGAGTGGGCGTTGCCAGGTGTTCCAGACAGCAAAGGGAAGCAATGGCAAGGACTGGCCTTTCAACGAATCGAGCGCCCGGGACGAGCCACATCGATCGAACGATCCACCGCCTACAATCCTAAGAACAACCTTCGCCGTCGTCGAGTTCAGACGATAGACAAGGACCAGGAGGAACGCGAAATTGAGGACAATGTCGGAGGAAATGACGAAGAGGAAGAAGTTGACACCAGCGTTTTGGTCCTCCACTTGACGCATGATACTCCCGCTGCCATTTGGAGTATTGTCGTAAAAGAAGGTGATGTGAAAGGAAGCATCGAATACCCACCTTGCGCTGATGTTTTTAGGTAGACTACACAACTATTGAAGATCTATGTAGAATCATGATATCCATATAAAAAACACATGCACTTGTATCTTCTTGATGCATTCTTGAACGTTATAGTAACAACTATCCAAACAACAAACTCCAAGATTTTATGATCAAGCTTGTTTCTCAATCGAGCACGTTTTTATAGTAGAGCTATACGGCCGATTTTGTTAAAATTGTGTGTCAGAGATATTTTGTACTACGATAAGACCTTATTTGATTACAAATCTTAAAATTTGAGCGTGTACTATTTGCTTACTGTACAATATATAGACTATAGAGGTGCATCAATTTTACATTTCAAATTTTGGTCTAGAATGCATGCAATTTCGAACCATTCAATTAAAAGTAACATCAAAAATGTTGGGAAGGGGTCAGTGGGAAACCAGAGCCGGGAATCTCATTTCTGCCGCAGCATTGCAAAACAGCGCCCAAAATCGATACATATAGGTATATTGATACCTGGGTCTTACCTTGCCTGGATACCGACACGGCATCTGGGATAGATTCCTCGGCAGTTGTGGATTGCATGCCAACACCAAGTTGACTGCAAAGGTCATCTAGGTACAGTTCAATCAGTTCTACCTTGAAATCTCCCATTCCAAGCTTCCAAACCTTGTTAGATATACCCATGGACGACAAATAAGTGTAGTTTGAGGAAATTAGGCCAACAATTCGACAATTCCGGAATTTTCAATAAACTTACCTCTTTTCTGACCCCATTTTGGCCTCATGATACTCGATGTAGGCCGAATTATTGCCTCGGTTTCGAAAAATTCAAACCTTAGGTATCCAAGGGAGATCCTGGTGTATTGTTGAATGGATAGCTGGCCCAATGGCGGCCACAGGGACCTTCAGAGCAGCTGAGAACCGACAGCACCCAAGAAGGAAATCTTAAAATCTTCGCAGATCAAACAGGTAAATTAAATCAATAATGCTCCGCCGTTGTAATAAATATCAATAGAGCAAAATCAACGTTAGAGCTCGGCGATCTTTGCATGCGGGGCCCTCTGTGGACCCCAAAGGGCAACCTGGTAAACACAGTTCGAACAACAACACTTGTTGCTGATTTTGGCATGATTGAGATCAAACAAAAAAATAATTTCGGCTCAAGACGTAGCCTATACATCCATGAAGCCGTCCGTCACATCTGAAGGGATGCAATCAGTTTCACCCAATTCTGTGTCGTCATCCATCTGTCTTATTGGTATAAATGGGATGGAGTCTGCGGATGGAATAATGCAACGCATCAACAACCAGCTTGGAATGCGACCTTGCCATCCATTTTGATATTTTGTTGGACGAATGCGTAGGGAAGGAGTTTATGAAATAAAACTGACCCAAGAGAGTCGTTGTGGATGCTAACGAGCCTTCCGAAGGTTGACAATAAAAATGGATGTTTGTCGTGGAGGATGTGATATTCGTGTACGCAATTTCTACGTACGGTAGCTAATATTCAGGCCGAATATTAAAAATACTTTCTTAGCTTCTATTTATGACATGGCGTACCAGAAACGTGGAATTCTACGGCATGTTTCGAAATTGTGATACGATTCGAGCTGTTTGCATTACACTGATACATAAATCATTCTATTCCAACACTGCTACGCCTGCACATTCCGGAAAGACAATACTTCCTCGGACACTGCCTTCCTCGACAACAATACTCCAAATCGCCGCTGGAGTGTCGTGAGTGAGATGCAGGAGAAGGATGCTGTCCCCATCCGATCCGCGAAGAGCAGCAGATGAAGAGCGCTGAACCCGCTGCAAGGACATGCCTTCCCACTGCATGCCATTGCTGTTGGGAACGTTTGGTAGTTGCCACTCGGCTTGGAAAGTACCGGTTGCAATGTCCCAAGCTCGGACAACTCGGGCGTTGTCATGAAGAACGTATAGAATACCTTCAAAGTAGTGCATGGCTCCAATCTTTGGATCCTCCATATCCTCGTCCAATAGCTTTGTGTTGAGGAGACGAGATGCTCGTAGAGCTGGCCTGGAACCCTGGACGGCCTGGGTCAATCCGTTTGGTTCTGGCACTGAGAATTTTTGGATAGTGGCACTGGGTGCATTAGTCGTCCCTTGGAGTCCAGAAATGTAGAGTGAAGAGGTGCCTCCTTGTTGAACAAAGGCCATCCCTTCCGGTTCTGGAGTGGCCAGCTTCCATTGCCCGGAAATCTCAAAGTTTCCCAGCAGATTACGCTGAAACGAGTACACGACCGCAGCCATGTCCGGTGTTGCAGTTGCCACCTCAGAAACAGCATACAAGGTATTAGCGTCCACAAAAGTAGCCGATTCGAAGTCACCCCGTTCTACCCGAGCCACAACCGTGGCGGAAGAACCCTCTGGAATAGCCAGTTGACCTTGGTTGTTCCATTCAGGTAGCGGAAAGCCGTAGATCTCGGAAAGAGTCGGAACCAACAGCAAGTTGCGTTCTTCATCGATCAAAGCATCGCTAGGTTCAAACTCAAGAGGAGAAAAGGAGCTCACATCATGTTCCATGCATACCCCGGCCTCGGGTCGAAAGGCCAGCACTTCCGGCTCGGCGTCTCCATTATTCCGTGCTGCCAAATCAGCAAGTTCCAGTTGTCGGAGTTTGCTGAGAATGATCCATGTTCCAGCAATGGCTGCACCAGACAACACAATGGGCCCAAAATGGCTTGTGTATCCATAGGGACGTCCATGCTTCATGAGCCAAATGCGCAAATAGTAGAGCCCAAGTGAATACACAGCAATGATCAAGGCAAATACCAACAGAGTGATGGCAGTGGACTTGGCATAGCCTTCTCCATTTTCAAACTCGAGCAAGAGTGCCGAAGTAGTTACCAAGAACAGTGCAGCGCTCACCCACTGGATAAAAGTACGTTCATTGGCAAAGTACGTCTTTGGCTCCACTCGAACGGCATTCTTTGGAGCCGTCCAAGCAGCCTTGGTTCTTTTTCGGATGGTGTCCATGATGATAGATGCTATCTATTGTGAGAAAGAGATGCTTTGGTTGCTTGTGCGATTTTGTGTCTTTCTGTGTTTTGGAACTCTCTGTGCGTGTGAAAAAGTGATGTCAGTTGCCGTTTCGTGTGTACTGGGTTTCTGTGTATATCGCCACGACCAGTCAAAATCTTTTTCTACTATGATGTCTATCTCGATTTCGCGTACGTACTGGGATGCGCGTTTCTTTTGGAACAGCCATGAACAGTTAAAATCTTAAAAGCACGAGAATCACACGAACATTTCTGAATTTTCCGTCTTGATGACCGTTTGTGGGGCAATGAATACTCCGCCTTTTCCTGGGAGATGCCAGATCTATACCGGTACCATATATTAACGTTGTCTTCACTGCAAAAATTGGACGCAATACCAGAATATATTTAATAGGAAAAATAGGATAGGAGTCATCAAAAAAGATCGCAACCTTCTCACTAGCACCTGGCACACCCAATACACATGATTCCAAATTCTCATCACAATTTGCAAGGACACAAGATTTTGCAAGGATGTCTCCAAAAGGTAACTTTGATTTCAGTACACGTACAACTTCTTCCACATCATCAAAAACACCAAGCATGAGGATTGCTGTCATGGAAGGTCCCAACGATCTCCGTAGATCTTTGGAACAATCGCTTCATGATATGGCAACCCAAGGTCCAGAGAAGCAGGAACAATTCTGCCAAGTATTTGCTAACGCTTTGCAATTCGTGGAACGAGCCATCTCGGAGGAAATTGCGCAACAAGACCAGTACGCCTCCTCCTTGTTGAGAAGCATCGAGCTCACCATCTCCGTGCCCGAACATCAGTCTCCACAGCAAGAAGCTGATTTTCGCCAAGCGGCTCAAGCCCAAGTGCATAACAGCAAGCTTCTCTCGGCTAATGCTAAGAGATTTGGGCAAATGCTGCTTGATGTATCTCGGCTTGCGGATACCAAGATTTCTACTGATATCACATTCGAAAAGACGGTGCAAGAACGCCTCTTGTTCGAACCATGGGCTCAATCCTCGTTCACCAAGATTGTGGTCCTTTTCAGTGACGTCTTTGAAGCACTTCGAGACCTCAAAGAAGCGGCAAGCGCATCGGGAAAGGCGGGAGTCTGGGTAGCACCCGATTCCTTTGAGCGAAAGACCACAAAGTATTGGGTACCCGAAGAGAATCTACCAGAACTACTCATGACATGTGCCAGTGAGGCTCCGTTCTTGGTGTATGGAAAGACTGGCCGTCTTTCAAGAGCCGAAGATATTCCTTTGGACGATCTGTGGAAGAACCTATCATCCAAGATCTCGTCCATCTATTTCGATTCGCCTTCACTGGCCTTGTACAAGGAGCGAATCAAGCGAAGAGAAGGAGCACAGCTGTTGCGAGCTCGATGGTATGGGGAGAAGCCACCGAAGCCCGACCAGCCAGTCTTTTTGGAGCTCAAGACCCATCACGAAAGCTGGATCTTCGCCAAGTCGGTCAAGGAAAGAGTGGCCATCCTCGAGAGGGATATGAATGCCTTTTTGTATTCGATGGACTCGGTCATGTCGGAAGGCTACGCCGAGTCTTTGGTACTGGCGGCAACACCCAAGTTGAAGGGCGAGAAGCTGGCCAAAGCGATTGATCTATTGATTCGGAGCCATACCTTGGTGGTCCGTCACAAGTTGCGCCCATGTGTTCGGTCAACCTATGATCGATTGGCCTTTCAATCCTCCAAGAGCAACTCCCTTCGTCTTACTTTGGACCGCAAGGTTGTCGTCAGTGATGAACGAGGATGCAAGCAAGGGGAACAATGGTATGTTCCTTTTGAGCCCTACGAATCCAAGCCAGATGGGTCCGACAGAAGGACCATCCCTTTTGCAGTCTTTGAGATCAAATTGGGCGAGGGTCAAGAGTCTACTGCTTTGAATGAATGCATCGACAATGGAACCATTTTGGATGCTGCCAAGTTTTCCAAGTTCTTGACGGGTGCGGCAACCTTCAACACTGTGAATCACTTGCCCTATTGGGCGGACCATCCTGCCTTTCAGACCTTCTTCTACCAAGCATCGGCATTGTCGTCATCGAAACTATCTTCTCTTCGTGATGTCCCATACAATAATGATGGAGAGATTAGTCTCACGGCATCCTGTTCTTCTAATACAGTGGGATCGCGCCGAGATCGCAACGATCGCAAGTCGAGCAAAAAAGTCTTGCCTTTCTTGCCGCAAAGAGTACGAGGAAATGCTTTTGTGGCGCCCAAGAAGGCAGTCCGAATCGAGCCCAAGACCTATTTTGCAAACGAGCGAACCTTCATTCAGTGGGTCAGTGCCGCCTTGTTCTTGGTGACTACTTCTGCAATTTTGCTCGAGGCTGAAAATGGAGAAGGCTATGCCAAGCTGACGGCCACAACTCTTTTGATCTTTGCCTTGATCATTGCGATATACGCGGTGGGACTCTATTACTCTCGCCTTTGGCTCTTGACCAACGCTCGGCCCTACGGATACATCAGTCATTTTGGACCCTTTGTTTTGACTAGTGCAGCCATAGCTGGGACCTGGGTAATTTTGCGTCAGATTCGTTTGGTCGAATTCCAGGGATATCCCGCAGTTTTCTGTGAAGCCAGCTTTCTCTTTTTTTTGGACAGTCGATGTGGTCATTTTCACCCTCTTCTGCACGAAACTTCAAAAATCGACTTTCACTTATTGCCTGCCAGAAAGAAACTTCTACGACAAGGAATTTTATAAATGTTCACAATGCCGTTAAGTATTCAACTTCATTCGCCAGATAAAATTTTAAAGTTTGTTTTATTTTTACAGCAATTGCGGAACATCTGTAATGACCCCAAAAAAACCTGTAAATTTTTCACAGAAGTTTCGGAACATCTGTGAAAAATTCACAGAGATTTCGGAACATCTGTGAAAAATTCACAGAATTTTTGACCCAGACGACCAAGCATTGCTTGCGCACACCATTAACCGTTTTTTCCTCTACCGAAATTGTATGGTGCTTTTACGAAAGGGCATGCGTGCACGCATGTCAGCTGAACCTCTGTTGAAACTTCACGGCAATTTCGGAACATCTGTGAAGACCCTTAAAAAACCTGTGAAAAATTCACAGAGATTTCGGAACATCTGTTGGTCATTCACAGAGATTTCGGAACATCTGTGAAAAATTCACAGAAAATTTAACGAACTACGACCAAAACGCGACGATCACCGACCAAGAATGAATTCCACGAGCAGTGATGATGTCGGATCACAGATCCCCGTGCAGAAGGAGTGAGCAAGCCGGTCAGGCCCCGATTCCAGTTCAGATTCACACCAAAATGCGGAATATCCCAGACGATAGAAAATTTACAGACTTTTTGACTCAGACGACCGTGGAAAAAAGTCTACGACTAGTTTTACATAGTGAAGCCATAAATGTTATATTCCTGGCTGAACCCACCATTCGCCACAATTTCGACATTTCGGAACATCTGTGAAGACCCTTAAAAAACCTGTGAAAAATTCACAGAAGTTTCGGAACATCTGTGAAAAATTCACAGAATTTTTGACCCAGACGACCAAGCATTGCTTGCGAACAACATTAACCGTTTTTTCCTCTACGGAAGTTGTGTGGTGCTTTTACGAAAGGGCATGCGTGCACGCATGTCAGCTGAACCTCTGTTGAAACTTCACGGCAATTTCGGAACATCTGTGAAGACCCTTAAAAAACCTGTGAAAAATTCACAGAGATTTCGGAACATCTGTTGGTCATTCACAGAGATTTCGGAACATCTGTGAAAAATTCACAGAAAATTTAACGAACTACGACCAAAACGCGACGATCACCGACCAAGAATGAATTCCACGAGCAGTGATGATGTCGGATCACAGATCCCCGTGCAGAAGGAGTGAGCAAGCCGGTCAGGCCCCGATTCCAGTTCAGATTCACACCAAAATGCGGAATATCCCAGGAAGAATTAGAGCGAAGCGTGGAGGAAGCGAGGAACAAAGTTCGCTTCGTTCAAGCGGATCCTGGCATGTGTATGGAACATGATATTAGTTCATTTTCGCCATTGGAATTCGAGCCTAGTGATGCACTTGTGGATCTACAGCGCAACCAATTGTTGGTTCCATCTCTCTCGGAGATTTATGGTTTTCCTCTTCCTGAATGGAACAGTGAAGGGGTTCTCGAGATCCCAAATGTTTCCTCCAGCATTGTGGCACAGGTGGAACTAGCTGACTTTGGATCGGCTACTCTGGTCGATGATGACACACTGTACGCCGTTTCTGAAATCGATATTACAACCCTTGAGCAGTCTCCACAAATGTACTCGTTTGAACGCGGAGATTTTGGACGCTTTGAAGTCACTGGTCAATGGAAGCTGGAGACACCCGAGCCTGAAGGTATGGTCAGGGTTTCCGAAGGCAGGTCCTCCTACTTGTTGGTTTCTGGTCAAATCGGAGAGGGACCACTAAGTACGGTCATTAATCATTTCGAAGTTCCTGAACCCAATGGAACGCCGATCAACCCAAATGCCACTGTTGGTTTACCCACGACACCAACGTTGGAAGCGAGCCGCAATCTGAACGAGAAACTTATTGACGCTAATATGGAGGACCCAAAGATCGGAGCCATGACCTACTTCGAAGGAGTCTTGTACGTCTTGCACGAAAAAGGCAAGGTCGTCCGAGCTTGGGACATGGAGACAGGGTCCTTCCAAGCCGAGTGGGCATTGCCAGGAATTCCAAACAGCAGTGGAAAGCAATGGGAAGGACTGGCGTTTCAACGAGTCGAGCGTCCGAGACGAGCCACATTAATCGAACGATCATCTTCTTCAAACCCAAAGAACAACCTTCGCCGTCGCCGCATCCAGACAACAGACGACGATCCTCGATGGAGAGATGATGATATGCAAGGAACCGATGACGACGACCAGGAAGAGGACGAAGTTGACACCAGCGTTTTGGTCCTCCACTTGACGCATGACACGCCCGCTGCCATTTGGAGTATTGTCGTCAAAGAAGGTGACATGAAAGGAAGCATCGAATACCCACCATGTGCTGATGTTTTTAGGTAGATTGCATAACTATTGAACATCTATCTCGAATTTGAAAACATAAGCTACGTTTCTTCGCGTATTGGCAATTCGAAAGCGAGCTAGTGACATCTATCCAACTTTCATTCTATCAACATTCTATGGGTGACCATTTTTCAATGATCCGGCAACAGTGATGTGGTGCTATGACCGTTCCAGGTATACAGGTACGATACCCGGTATTTTGGCGTGATGTTTGGCGTGGATTTGGAATTAAAGTATATAGGTGAACCTATAATATTATTCAGTACATAACGACGATCGTCAAAACCAAAACAATGATGCATGACAGTTATAATACTCTACACTGGCTTCGCATTTGATTGAATTTTGTAATCGAATGCTTATCTATTGTATTCTACCTGAGCCAATCTACCAAGTGCTTTCGAGTACTTCTCTTCAAATCAGTGAGCATGAGATCTCGCATCGGCTATTACAAAGTAGTTGTATTCCATATGTTACATGCCAAGTGTTTTATGTAATATGTACTCTACTGTTATAAATCATTCTATTCCAACACTGCTACGCCTGCACATTCCGGAAAGACAATACTTCCTCGGACACTGCCTTCCTCGACAACAATACTCCAAATCGCCGCTGGAGTGTCGTGAGTGAGATGCAGGAGAAGGATGCTGTCCCCATCCGATCCGCGAAGAGCAGCAGATGAAGAGCGCTGAACCCGCTGCAAGGACATGCCTTCCCACTGCATGCCATTGCTGTTGGGAACGTTTGGTAGTTGCCACTCGGCTTGGAAAGTACCGGTTGCAATGTCCCAAGCTCGGACAACTCGGGCGTTGTCATGAAGAACGTATAGAATACCTTCAAAGTAGTGCATGGCTCCAATCTTTGGATCCTCCATATCCTCGTCCAATAGCTTTGTGTTGAGGAGACGAGATGCTCGTAGAGCTGGCCTGGAACCCTGGACGGCCTGGGTCAATCCGTTTGGTTCTGGCACTGAGAATTTTTGGATAGTGGCACTGGGTGCATTAGTCGTCCCTTGGAGTCCAGAAATGTAGAGTGAAGAGGTGCCTCCTTGTTGAACAAAGGCCATCCCTTCCGGTTCTGGAGTGGCCAGCTTCCATTGCCCGGAAATCTCAAAGTTTCCCAGCAGATTACGCTGAAACGAGTACACGACCGCAGCCATGTCCGGTGTTGCAGTTGCCACCTCAGAAACAGCATACAAGGTATTAGCGTCCACAAAAGTAGCCGATTCGAAGTCACCCCGTTCTACCCGAGCCACAACCGTGGCGGAAGAACCCTCTGGAATAGCCAGTTGACCTTGGTTGTTCCATTCAGGTAGCGGAAAGCCGTAGATCTCGGAAAGAGTCGGAACCAACAGCAAGTTGCGTTCTTCATCGATCAAAGCATCGCTAGGTTCAAACTCAAGAGGAGAAAAGGAGCTCACATCATGTTCCATGCATACCCCGGCCTCGGGTCGAAAGGCCAGCACTTCCGGCTCGGCGTCTCCATTATTCCGTGCTGCCAAATCAGCAAGTTCCAGTTGTCGGAGTTTGCTGAGAATGATCCATGTTCCAGCAATGGCTGCACCAGACAACACAATGGGCCCAAAATGGCTTGTGTATCCATAGGGACGTCCATGCTTCATGAGCCAAATGCGCAAATAGTAGAGCCCAAGTGAATACACAGCAATGATCAAGGCAAATACCAACAGAGTGATGGCAGTGGACTTGGCATAGCCTTCTCCATTTTCAAACTCGAGCAAGAGTGCCGAAGTAGTTACCAAGAACAGTGCAGCGCTCACCCACTGGATAAAAGTACGTTCATTGGCAAAGTACGTCTTTGGCTCCACTCGAACGGCATTCTTTGGAGCCGTCCAAGCAGCCTTGGTTCTTTTTCGGATGGTGTCCATGATGATAGATGCTATCTATTGTGAGAAAGAGATGCTTTGGTTGCTTGTGCGATTTTGTGTCTTTCTGTGTTTTGGAACTCTCTGTGCGTGTGAAAAAGTGATGTCAGTTGCCGTTTCGTGTGTACTGGGTTTCTGTGTATATCGCCACGACCAGTCAAAATCTTTTTCTACTATGATGTCTATCTCGATTTCGCGTACGTACTGGGATGCGCGTTTCTTTTGGAACAGCCATGAACAGTTAAAATCTTAAAAGCACGAGAATCACACGAACATTTCTGAATTTTCCGTCTTGATGACCGTTTGTGGGGCAATGAATACTCCGCCTTTTCCTGGGAGATGCCAGATCTATACCGGTACCATATATTAACGTTGTCTTCACTGCAAAAATTGGACGCAATACCAGAATATATTTAATAGGAAAAATAGGATAGGAGTCATCAAAAAAGATCGCAACCTTCTCACTAGCACCTGGCACACCCAATACACATGATTCCAAATTCTCATCACAATTTGCAAGGACACAAGATTTTGCAAGGATGTCTCCAAAAGGTAACTTTGATTTCAGTACACGTACAACTTCTTCCACATCATCAAAAACACCAAGCATGAGGATTGCTGTCATGGAAGGTCCCAACGATCTCCGTAGATCTTTGGAACAATCGCTTCATGATATGGCAACCCAAGGTCCAGAGAAGCAGGAACAATTCTGCCAAGTATTTGCTAACGCTTTGCAATTCGTGGAACGAGCCATCTCGGACTCTATAGATAGAATTTTGAAATTCCCTTTACTAATACAGTACTGTTGTGAGTAGTGTACGTGTACGCACGTACAGCATGCAGTACGTATTATCGTACCAGATAATGTGCTGTAATTACAGCGGGTATAATATGATAATGATCGAACTGCATGCTGCAATGTAGGTGTATTAATCATCATCATCATCATCATCATCGTCATCATCAATCGAGCTGGGTGCTCATTTGGTTTCAGAACGACAGTAGAGCATTATGACCTCTTCTCAAGGCAATGTTGAAGTTGCAGATGCTTCGTCCATCAGTGAGATCGGCGTGGATGATTTTCTCGCGGGACTGTCGGATGCCAACGGTTGGAGTGACGAGACTAAGAAAGCGCAGTACTCGGAAAATTTGCAGGTTCTAGCCAACCATCTTCTTGAACTGCTAAGTTTGGAGGCATGCGCTAGAACTGGCCGTGATGGCCCCGCCAACGAGGTGAATGAGATAGTAGCAAAGATCCTTGATCCTAACTTTCTCGACGCACCACCCTCAAGAAAGAGCAAGAAGCTCATCATTCGAGAATGGAAAGAGACTGCTGCTGCGCAGCCCATACTCCATGCCATCATCTATCGAGTGCTCGGCCTTGTGGATCTCCGTCACCTGTATGTGTCGAAGGAACAGAAGACACGAGGCAAAAATGTTAATGAAAAGGACCGAGTTATGGATTTCTTGGTCCATGAAATGCGTGAGCACATTATTCACGCCCTTCCAAGCATGATTGAAGGTGTAATTGAAGTGAAGAGGTGTGAGAAAGAGAGCAAACATGATAATCAACAAATTAACCGTGCGGCGAATCAATCAGTCGGAAACTTTGCGAAGAGGTTGCGAGGAGAGCTCAAATATCTAGGTATTGGCGTGGATTGCGAATTGTATTGGAGTTGCGATATCTTTGTCCAAAATGTCGGTAGTCAAAGCATCACTGCAACATGTGGGAACAGAAAATGTCGAGGTCTCATTGATCAAGACCAAGCCAGTTGATTTATTGTCTCATTCGGGTCTTAAGCTGCTTGCGCGTACATTGAATGCCAGTGTCAATCCGTCCCAAGTGAAACATGGCGATGCCACACTAATAGAAGCAGAACTAAAACTACCTTCATACGGAAGCGAGGATAAATTGACAAAAATATCGATTGGCGAGATTTTGGGTTCGGGAGCCTTTGGGATTGTATACCAAGTTACGTCAGTCGACTCTTATTCTGAAGATCCGAAGGGATATTTCATAAAGATTCCAACATCCTGCTTGGCGAAGACTTCGCTAAAGGATGAGGCAAAAATCTTGGATGAATTGAACAAAGAGAAGACTGGAACAAATAAAGTTCCCAACATCCCTTGTTGCAAAGCGAAGGGCACCTTCTGTTTGGCTTTCAATGGCTTTGTGGGTGAAACGTATGGCCTACTTCTCAATGGTATGATTGATAAGGCTGCCAACAGTTTAGATTGGAATGCGGAATGCAACAAGCAACACCTGCCATTTGTCGTGGAGAAGGTGTTTGCTGCTCTAAAGGCTGCACACGACCGGGGTGTGTATCATCTCGATATTCAACCTGGCAACATAATTGTTTCTGACAAGGACATCTCACATGACGAGTCGCCTGGGGATGTGGGCGTGTTGGTGATTGATTGGGGTGTGGCAATCCGTGGCGAGACAGATTTCTCTTTTCGCGGCTGCGTCCAGTACGCTCACAATGAGCTACTCGCGCTTGACAGAACCCGAAGTGGACCAAAAGAGGTGTATGACTGGGCTTCTCTGTTGTACACGTACTACCACTTGCATGAGGGTGGCTTACCATGGAATGCCTTGATGGAGCACGGGAAGCGAGTTTGTGACACTGGGATGAGAGAGAACGTAGTCTCGGATTGGTGGTGGAAGCAAAAGCAGGACAACGAAAATGGCAAATATGGTTTTGTTGAAGCGTTTGCGAAAGTTCTTCCTGAACAACAGATAGCTTGAGATAATCACAGAACCAATACGGGCACTCGAAGAGGAGGTAGCCTGCCACCGAGTGCTGGCCCGTCTTCTTTTCCCAGGAGAGCTTTGCTTAGGGACGACAAATAAATATTTCGCATTCAAGCGTATGCATGGGAGAAGAAACTACTCAGACTATAATTTGTAAATCATGGATCAAGCAAGAAGTGCATCATACAATGACATGGTACCTAGCAATTATTCGTCGCAAATTGTAGAAGATTACGAAGTAATCGCCTTTGTCGACTGAAATATATATAAAATGGAATCCATCCGGTATCGCCTGTATGTCAACCGTTCGGAAGCATAGGAGAGTGTAGTCTTATTTTGGGAGCCTTTGGCCAAAACCGGACTATTTCGGAAAATTCCACTCCGAATCTCGGAAGGGAATAATACAAAATACATGCGTGGTCATCGTTGTTGTCTTTACCCTTGTACAAAGGTTTTCTTTTCAATTCAACTTTGCCATCACTGGTAGCATTTGCGCATATAATCACATATACTACATCCTGCTAATACGCAACACCCCGCAATGCCTGATCCGATATTTCAAGACGACACTTCATCCGATGAATTTGAATCCGATGTTGGATCGTCTTCCTTAGGAAATCCAGAAGAACTGGAGGAACAACAAAACTTATTGGGAACTAGTGAAGAGGAGGAGTCTTCTGAAGACGGGGATGAATGGGAAACCGATGATGAGAGCACTGACGAAGAGGAAGAAGAATTGGTTCCAGCCAAGGCCGCTAAGAAAACGGGGAAAGCTGCTGCCGCTGCTGCAGCCACCCAAGCCCCACAGCCACAAGCTGAGAGTAGTGAAGAGGAAGAAAGCAGTGAAGAAGATGACAGTGAAGACGAGAGCAGTACAGAAGAGCAAACCAACACTCTTGGTGCTCAAAACAATAATACCCCAGTAATAGTGGCCTCCAGTGATGAAGAAGAGGAGTCAGGAAGCGAAGATCATTTTCTTAACGAGCCCGCTGACAACATTGACAGGATGCAAGGTCAGGAACCAGTGAACGCATATGATACGGATGGCCTGGAATCGCAAAGCATGGACAGTGAAAGCAATCGAAAAAACGGCCGATCCACTGAATATGATGATGAAGAGATCGAATCTAGGGACGACGAGGAGGTAGAGGAATCCAGGTGTGGCGCAAAAGCGATCGCCATTTGCTGCTGCTTTATTATCCTTGTGGGTGGAGGAATTGCAGCTTTATTTCTTGTTCCAGACTTGCTGAACAAGGAACCGGCTGCCACAACTGCTGTCAGCACTCCGACTCTGGAACCTTCCGCAGTACCATCCGACAGCCCATCCGCACCGCCGCTTCAATTTGACGAAGAAATTGCAGTTTCAGGAGACACACTCATTCGGAATGGAGCCCAGGCAGACATGGAATACGATAAATTACAGACCTTGCCAGTGGTATTTGATAGGACTTCTGGGGAAGAGGCACTCGCTTTGCTACAGTTCAACCTCACGGGGATAGATATGACTCAGGGGGATTTCTGGTTGCGTCTTGTCAGTGCCCAAGACGCCAACAGTAAGAATGAAGATGTCATTCAATTGAGAAGGGTATTTGGGCTAACTGCTCCCATTGAAAGTTTGTCATGGAACCAATTTCAAGCGCAGAAGACACAGCTGGGAGGCAGTGTGAGATTCCCAGTCGACACTAATCAAACTGTGTACAATGTTGAGATTTCCACTCTCGTCGTAAACACAACGGAAGATGTTCTGACGAGTCGAATGCGGCGGCGAGATCTACAGGAGGATGATGGAATGCTTTCCCTGTTGGTCGAAAATTCGAGAAGCAATATTTTTGAAAAGCAAAGTGGAACCTTTGCGTTTCACAGTCGCGAATTCTCCAATGGAGCGTTGGGACCAAAAATGTTATACCTTTCCAGTCTTCCGGCAGCTCCTACTTCCAGTCTACAGCCAAGTTCTACACCAAGTATTTCCAATATGCCAACCACGAGTAGCCGTCCATCGACAAAGCCTTCGGCGTCTCCTTCGCAAGCTCCATCAGTGAGTAGTCGACCGTCGCTGAGACCGTCGCAGAATCCATCGCTTGCTCCATCCAAGAGTTTCATGCCAACTGAGTCTCCCAGCCGCTCGTCGGCTCCGTCGCTGAGCCAAATGCCATCCGCTGGTTCCATCCAAACCACACAGTCGTTCCAGCCGAGTGCTAGTGAAACACCCACGAGCAGTCCATCTGGAAGTGCCATGCCGTCTGCCAGCACGGCACCAAGTGCCAATCCAAGTGTCGACCCAAGTATGGCACCGAGTAGTTTTCCTTCTTTGCCGTCAGTCAGTGTGACCCCAACATTATCACAAGCACCAAGCAAGAGCTCGTCTCCTTCTGCGGAGCCATCGACCTCCAAGTCTCCGTCTTTGAGCAATGCACCATCTATCAATGTGCCTCCAACAGCATCACAATCACCAAGCATGAGCTCATCCCCTTCCTCACAGCCATCAACTTCCCAGTCTCCGTCTTTGAGCAATGCGCCGTCAGCCGATGCGCCTCCAACAGCATCACAATCTCCCTCGGAAAGTTCGGTTCCAACCAACAATCTAGTCTCAGTCTCGACCAACCCCAGTTCCATGCCGTCGTCGAATCCATCAGGATCCAATGCGCCAAGTAAAAGTATGAATCCGTCATCCAATCCATCTGGAAGTGCGAAGCCTTCGGTCAGTGAGGCACCTAGCAATGTACCAAGCTTGTCGCCATCAATTCTACCAAGTATGAATCCTTCGTCAAATCCGTCGGGATCCAATGCGCCAAGTACAAGTACGAATCCATCATCCAATCCATCTGGAAGTGCAAAGCCTTCCATGAGTAAGGCACCGAGCAATGTACCTAGCTTGTCACCGTCAATCCAACCAAGTTTGAATCCTTCGTCGAATCCATCTGGGTCCAATCCGCCAAGTACAAGTATGAGTCCATCCTCCAATCCATCAGGAAGTGACAAGCCCTCCATCAGCAAGGCACCGAGCAATGTACCAAGCTTGTCGCCATCAATTTCACCAAGTATTTATCCTTCTTCGAATCCGTCAGGGTCCAATGCGCCAAGTTCCAGTATGAATCCGTCGTCAAATCCATCGGCAAGTTCCAAGCCTTCGGTTAGCAAGGCACCGAGCTTGCAACCAAGCAGTGTACCGTCCCGGTCACCAAGTACTGTGCCTTCACTAGCACCATCCAGCAAACCGTCTGTGAGCAAGGCTCCAAGTACGGCACCAAGCATATCGCCTAGTCTTGCTCCAAGCACCAGCAAGGCACCATCCATCAACCCGACAGCCAAAGCCGCCTAATGAAGGACATTGAAACTTATTTGCAAATACGAAATGTGACTGGCTGCGATCCGTGGTGACGAAGTCTGGATGATTATTGAGTGAGAGAGTAAATGGAGTAGAGGCTGTTTTTCCTCTCCGACGGGTTGCTATGGTGACCTACAGAATTGTCACCGAATGATGCTAGGAGGACTGCTGCGGCAAAGGGGGTGTCTAAAAGGTTATGTGCTGAAGTATGATGGCGATTGTCAAACCTAGATTGAAGTTCAGTCGAGTACCTCTCCTACCAGATACCCAGAATAGGAATAGATTCCTAGATTTACAATAATTACCGATGTTGGTACCATGGTATTCATACTAGTTGTCTAGTCATGATCTCACAGATTAGAATTTCCAGAAACCGCTTGGGAGAATAGTAGAATAGATCGGCATCTAATCTCAACACTTAAGCTAGCAGACGGTTCAAGTTTTCTGAACAAGACCTAAAAGACAATCATGGCCGTTCTCGAAAACACGCTTACTGTTTGACATAAATAAAAAACGGCCCCAAGTCTCCCGACTTGAGTTCTTTTTGCCCTCATTTTTGCTTCCGATTTGTTCTCAGAACGTCGCGCTATCAAACGCACGTTTGCGCCGTCAATGACCGCGATGGCCGACTTATATATGGATCTCGTTTTCACTGGGTATTTGTGGAGAATCACGGTCATTAAGATCTTTGCCATTTATACATATGTCCCGTAGAGGTAATAAAGCACGCGTGGCACCCGTAGTCGTACAATGCCCATACGGAGGCTGCGTGGGAAGATGGATCACTCACTCATCACCTCTTCAGCCTCGCCGATAATAAATTTCGACTAAACGAAGAAAAAAATTCAACTTGCACGGCAGTTTAGGTTCCATCCGCAGCCATGCATCTAGAGGAGTGTGATTATTCAACTAGTCAGCAGACAGTCATGAGCGATAACGAAGAAACAAAGAATGAACCAGTAATCCATTTGAAGGTTCCTACTGAAATTCACAGGGATACCATCAAGCGAAGAGGAATGTTTGCAAAGCGTGACAAAACGGAAGCATCGTCTCGAAGACTCTTGATTGCTGATTCAGTTGACGATGTTCTGTATCCGCCACCTGCTCCAGTTAGAATGGCGCAAAATTACACGCCCATTGCAAAGGAAGTCAAGACTGTAGATTCCGCCAAAATTGATGAAAGTGGAAGGAGCGTAGTTAGCGAGTTGACACTTGATGCATCTGCAAGAACACGCGGCGTTGATGCATCAGCAAGGACTATTGACAGCTCTAATAGAACAGAACCCTCTTCTAATGTCGTCAGGCAAAGAAAAGCACCGAAGGCCAAGTCGCCCAAGCAAAAGACCAAGAAGACAGTGAAACCTAAGAAATCAGCATCTGGAGATGATGAGGATGATGATGATGATGACTCAGTAAGCGTCCTCAGCGACGAGTTATCTACGATCAGCGAGAAACGTTCCAAGAAGAATGGCTCCAGTCGATCTCTATCCTCCACGTCGTCTAAGAAGTCGGCAACAAAGAAGAAGAAAAAGACGTCAAAGGCCAATCGAAGAGCATCTATGAAGAGTATGGGAAGTTGTGAATCCATCGACGAACTCACCGTCACTAGTGGAGAAATGTCGTTTGACGGCTTGTCGCTAGCTGATTCGATCACTGCTGATTCTGGAAGTGCCGATGCGCCAGTTTCCTCCAGGTCGGCGGCCACTACGGATTCGTCTCGACGATCGCACAAGTCCAAGAAGTCAAGTAGTGCTACATCCAGGCGCAGTTCCACTGGCGAAATCAGCAAGTCCTCCAAAAAGTCCAAGGGATCCAAGAAATCGAGCAAGGGATCTGTTCCCATGGTCATAGGATCTGGCTGTGGTGGGGATACGGACGAAGTCTCAGAAGTTGGAGAGAAGCCACCAAGTCTGATGAATTCGACACTATCCGATGGCGGTGCTGATACCAATGCACAAGAAAGCGCAGTCCTATCACAGGGATTACAAGCCCTGGGACAATTTTATGAATAAAGCTTGCGCGCGCCAAGAATCGATAGAATTTTGAAACCTAAAATGCATGGGATAGAGTGTACATAAAAAATGGAATATATGACAGGTGGAATAAAAATAATAGCAAAATGTTCATTACAAATCTATTTCAATTGCATTATTTTTCCAGGCATGCCAATACTAGTCGGAATAAGGAGACATATTCACTGATGCCGGTGCTGATCGTCACATCAATGAATCAATCCACCCAACACTTTTCTACCTACCTACCGTACTACGGTAACACTGAGCAATACGATGATGTGCAGTTCAAAACACCAGTAGGTACAATGTACAATGCTGTATTTTGAATTTTGTGGGAACAAATTCAGGGATCTCACTTTAATTATGGGGAGTAATCGGAATTCGAACCGCAAGTTTGATGTTTTCAAAACTTCTGATTCGTCCGCATCACATCATCATCCTCCACGCTAATGGATTCAACTGACACGTTAATGCTGTTGAAAGAAGTGCATTCCATCGTGTCTCGTGCCAATATCAAGAAATAGAACCACAAACACGCAAACATACACACGATCACACAATCACACAATAAAGAAAGACAACCATGAAGCAAAGAATGAAGAATATGCTTCCAATCCTTCTGATTGTCTTCTGTCAACAAGCCGTTATGACACAAGCTTGGGGAACTTTGGGACATGAAATTGTGGGAAACCTTGCGTGGTATCGTCTGAGTGATCCAGCCAAGACGTGGGTCAATGAAACTTTGCACGTCAAGACTGAGACTGCTGCGAACGGCAATCCTAAAGACATTGATGATCCTACCATGACTCCTTTGGGAAAGGTCGCTGATTGGGCCGATGCAGTGCGTCATTATTTGGGTTGGTCATCTCCCTTGCATTTCATTGATGTCCGAGACGATTTGATTCCCGGTGGTTGTCTGGTTGCTTCGGACGACTGTAAATTTATATACGAGCGGGATTGTGTAAATGACGTGTGTGTGGCCGGGGCCATTTTGAATTATACCAAGCAATTGTTATCATCCAAACCGAGTCCTAATCATCGTCATCATCAGGAGCTACTACCATTATTGAGAGGAGGAGGACTGAAATCATCTCGGCTTGAAAAAGGATACAACTTGACGCAAGCGCTCATGTTTTTGACTCAGTAAGTTTATACATGTCCTCAAGGGATCTGTCATGTTCTATATATCATATAATGAAGAATCATTGCAGTACATGGCCCAGAATGCTCACCCCACCAATGCTACATTTCCATTCCATCCTTCAGTTTCATCGGCGACATTCATCAACCGCTGCACGCCTCCCGCACCACGGACAAGGGTGGTAATGATTTTCACGTTCACTTTAGCTTACCTGATGAAGGCGAAAATACGAAGTTGCATCATGAACAACCAGCTTATTATCAAAATACGAACAAGCATCATCACAGTTGGAATTTGCATTCCGTCTGGGATTCAGCCATGATTGAAGTCGTATTGGGACGAAACTACAATCATTCACGACATTTGATGGAACAAGATTTGTTTCATACATCGCTACTTTTTGACTCTGCAAGTAGTAGTCAAGACTCCAATGATGCCTCTACTTGCAACATTGGGATCAACGCCACCTGTGTCATTGCCTGGGGCAAAGAGAGCTTTGATTTGGCCCTCCAGTATGCCTATGTGGAGAGTGACAATGTGACCCAAGTTTCGACTGGATCCACTTTGGATGAACTGTATTATGAATCAAGATTGCCCATTATCAAGCAACAGTTGATTCTGGGAGGAATGCGACTGGCGGAAACGATTGAAGCCATTGTTGCGAATCAGAAGGCACCTTCCAAGATTTTGGAGGTGCGAAAGGCACTTGGGTTAGCCACTCTTCGATGATTCTTCAAGTCCAGGAAAATTAGAATTCGTTGCTGCTTGATTGGTACGTGTACCCAGACGATGGATTCTTGGTCCGATTGACTTTGTAACAGAACAAAGCAAATTGGATGAAGACCATCTATACAATAGCTCTACCGTTTCTACATTGAACTGGCGCGATGAGCATAATAGAATTATATTCATTCAAATCTACCCTCGTTCATATATGCGTTACCATATGCGTTTCCAATGAAAATCATGCTTTTTCAACAAGCATGTATCATGTCACTACAATACGATGAATACATTGTCATGGTGAGTTCAGGATGGAACCGCACTGAACTGTACTATACTGTATTATCTTCGACCCAAAGCAAAACTGGTTGAGCGTCAGTTGCACGAGAACGAACACTGGTATTTCTTCCTATCTTCTAAACTCATGCAGTTTTGGTGTTGAATCGAAACTGCTTTTTTTTTTTAAAAATTTCGCGTGGAATTGAACATTTATGTGCTTCATAAAACGCTATTCAAATCAATCACGAGCGAACTGGATTTTTTAGAAAAACATATCTGAGACGAAAGTATGCCAATCACGCTTCGAAATTTCCAATAAGTACAAGAAGTTGCATTGTTGGGCTTTGATTCCCGAACTCCTTAGGTAAGTACCACCAAATGTATTGACTAGCTTTAGAAATGAAACCCGTCCAATTTTCTACGTGAGAAAATCCAACTTGCGTATGCAGGTTTCCCATTTTTGCATATCGTTTGCACAGAAAAACGAGATAACACTACAGTGATTGCAACAATAACAACAATGATGAACTTGCTCAAGCTATTTGTGCTTTTAATTACACTGTCCGCATATAACACTGTGGCGACGACGATGGCTGCTCAAGAAGAAGAAGCAAAAGAAGAAAGAAGCAACAGCAGCACAACACAAAGCCCAGGCATTGGAGGAGATCCGCACATTATCACATGGAAGGATGAACATTACGACTTTCATGGCCAATGCGATTTGGTGCTTTTGAGTGATCCAAACTTTACCCGCAGCGTTGGTGTGGACATTCATATTCGCACCAAGGTGGTTCGGTATTGGTCCTTTACCGAAAGTGTTGCCATTCGATTGGGCAAGGATACTCTGGAGATCCAAGGCACCACTAGTAACGACGGTACTAATAATGGCGAACCAAACTATTGGATCAATGGCAAGCACAAAGGTGATTTGTTTTTGTTGGGTGGGTATCCCATCTTTCAAAAGCGTCCTCAAGGTCACACGCTTACCTATCAGATCAATTTGAGTCCCACCTATCCCAATGCAGAGATTGTTGTTCAAGTGTACAAGCAATTTGTTCGCGTCAAAATCAATGGTGATGACGAAGCCTTTGGACGATCCGTTGGTCTGTTGGGAGATTACTTGACGGGAGAGATTCTCGCCAGAGATGGAATGACAGTCCTCCGTCAACAAGACAACAAGGCAATTGGGGATGAATGGCAAGTCTTGCCCAGCGAGGGGCCGCTCTTTCACGAAGACCAAGCACCTCAATTCCCGGTTAGATGTCTCCAGCCAAAGTCTCCCAGCAAACAGCACGAACGATGGCTAGCCGAGTCTAGCATTAGTGTTTCCGAAGCGGAAGCTGCCTGTGCCAAAGTGGGCGATCTTCCTTCCATCAAGGACTGTGTGCATGATGTCCTGGCGACGCAAGACTTGGGTATGCGAGGTGCCTTTTAAAAAAACAACTGAAGCGCAATACTACTAGGTCTACCCTAGCAATAATCACGCGTTCGAATCAAAAAAGGCATACGGTGCTGTTGAGCTCCAAGGAACTGCTGTATATATCCTCCCCTACACGTTTATTGTAAAATATACATTCTATACTCAATGAAGCACTTCCATGGTTTTCAAATTTTACAATAACCAACAAGCACCTTTGCCCAACTTGATAGTGTTAAAAACGTGCGATCAGGCAAAGTTACACTCTTTGCATCCGTCGTATCGTACTCGTTGGTCCATTGCTCTTCTTCTTGTGTAGGTATACCGGTAGACCTATTGTACTGGTACGGTATCGGTATTATATAATATAGTAGTTGGTACCAGGTACTGAACAGTATTACCACAGCATTGATGTTATCCTTCCGCTTTGAAAAACCTAATGTCCTTCGGATAGACCAGGGACACATTGTTCTTTATATAAGTGTACAGGGTAGGGTCTGCAACTGGTGGGAGAAGCAGACATAACATGCCGTAAAGGCTAGAACAGAAGAAACAGAAGTCGACTGAGTCGAATACTCGGTCGATTGAGTGAGCGACATGGTGCGACACGGAGCTACAGCCAAATGTATACTAAATAAATAGCTTAATTGTTGACACCCGAACACCAAACCCCACCGTACATCTCAGTTTTCATGTGCACACACGCAAAGTAGTAAGCAAAGCTGCCCGGGGAAAAGAAGACGGGCCACTTTGAACTTTGCAGATCAAGAATCATCAAAGCGGAATGTGGTGGCGAAACTATGAGTCAGTGACTTTTACAAAAAGCGGAGAATCAGAAACGGGAACTCATGGCGAATTCTGGACCCCCCACAACTCGTCTATCGACCGACCGTTTCCGAATTTCACATCTCCGACTTCTTTGACTACTAAATGGTTTTCAATACACCCCTGGGCCGGGGCATTGTTGTAGCAAAATATTGTATTTGATCGGTTTCGTGTTGCAGTGACGTGTTTTGATTTCTTTGATCGGTTTCAAAATCGTTTGATCGGTTTCGTGTCGCAGTGACTTGTTTCGATTTCTTTGATCGGTTTCAAAATCATTTGATCGGTTTTGTGTCGCAGTGACTTGTTTCGATTTCTTT